TTTATAAAACTCAAAATATTCCTTGGTCTTGGTTATCAAAAAAGTACATCACTAATATCCCGAAAACTGCCCGGACTACGTCACGAGGCTGGAATTCCGTAATTTGAATGTGTAGAATCGCTTGTAAATTGTTTCAACGCTTCGTTGATCATGTTTTGTAGATCAAAGTCAACCACCGATACCCATTTTGAAACCTAGTTTAGATATTTAACGGTGACGTAGACAGATTTAGAGAACAATTAACAAAAGACAAGGCGTAACTAGGCCGGTATCATGGTATCGCTGAGTCTAACAAATCATCAGGCTGATCAATGAAAAAAAAGGAATATGTGTGTATGCGTGTGTGTGTGTGCGTGTGCGCGTGCGTCCAAGACAGGTCCTTTTAATTTGTTATTGTATTTTCCAATCTTCTAATAAAATGTACACCGGGTTCAAAACTGTAGATAAACTGCCCAAAGTTCATGTTTTCGTTCTGTTTTTCTTTTAAGTATTTTTAGACCGTCCCAGTCATTATCAAGAACTGGGTGTTCTCGGTGTGGTAGACAAGATCGTTTTTTGGCTACCGCTAGTATTTCTTTTGGGAGTGCTTGCATTCAAATGAGTCTATTGTGGTGTATGCGTATGGCAGTTACACGAAGCAAAACCGCATTGGAAAACCATATCAAATATTTGTACGTAATTATATTATTTCATACGCATCTCAAATATGTTATACACCGTCTGCCATGATGAAAGATTATTTAATATTTTTCTATTGTATAATAATTGTTTCTAGGATTTTTGTCTTTTCTTGCAATTTATATCGTTTTTCATATATATATATATATATATATATATATATATATATATATATATATATATATATATATATATATATATATATATTAAGAAATGGACAAGGTCCGACAATTTATTTATTAAAAAGACATTTTATGTTTAACGTTGTTATTTATAGATACAAGTATTTAAGCACCGTTAAATATCTACATTCATAACATAGATACAAGTATTTAAGCAAATAAATTCAGGCCGGTAAATGTTATTTAATACTGTTTATCATGAACAGAGCATTTGCTTAAATACTTGTATCTATAAATAACAACGTTAAACATAAAAATGTCTTTCATAAATAAATTGTCGGACCTTGTCCATTTCTTAATATATGACGTCATTTGTTTACATTTGATACGCCAGAGCAGTTATGAATGTACGAGATTCATGGAAGATTGAAGTTTATAAGCAGTAAATTCGACTTTGTTTACCGAAAGGTTCTTTGTGGCCCAGAGGTTAGGCACGTCAGCGTAAATGACGTTTCCGTATAGGATGCAGGTTCGAATCCTGTCAAAGAACGAATATTTTCTATGAAAATTTCTCGGACATTCAGGCCGGTAAATGTTATTTAATACTGTTTATCATAAACAGAGCATTTGCTTAAATACTTGTATCTATAAATAACAGCGTTAAACATAAAAATGTCTTTAATAAATATATATATATATATATACACGGTACTGCTCTGCATGGCCAAATCGATAAAGCTTGGCGGTCTAAACGGTAAATCCCTCTGTCCTGAGGGACGCAGATACGATTCCTGCAAGAAGGCGCAAATTTTTCTCGAAAATTCAGGCCTTATAGACAAAAATAAATAAATATACTATTTACTAAATAAATAAACGGAGCGCCTACTCGAACACAAGCATCCACTAAAAATAAAGTTTAAAGTAATATATATATATATATATATATTTATACACGTTTCATTAAATAATATATACAAGTGTTGTCTATTTATTTTATGTAAAATTTTTTCGTATCTTCTGATAAGTTTGATAACATTATCATTAAACGAAGAAAGAAATTTACAATATTTATCCATTATTTTTAATATAATCTAAGCTTTCGGCTTACTTAAGCCATTATCAAAGATATAAATCACAAACATATTAAACAATATACGGACACGACAGTGATGATAGTCTGTCGTTGTTTACATAGTGGATCACTAAGCAACGATAAACACGCGCATATAAGACGCTAGAAGCGAAAATCGCACTGCATCTCATGACGTCACGAATGAATTTTACACGAAATGAATTGTAGAATGAAATAAGGAAAGCCGTTGGTATAATGAAAATGGCTTCTGTTACCAATTATAGAAATTATAGACATTTAAGAATATTTGTAGACATGCCGGTGATTTTTTGTTTAGGTTTATTTTTACAAAACTGTTTGATGTATAATGCTTCAAGTATTTTTATTTTTTTGTCTATTGTTTTCATGTCGAAGTATAGTTATGTTTTCGACATATATTTTACGGAATTATATGTGCGGGCAGGCATGTTGTTTTAAATGCCTAAAAATGTTAGAGTTTTCATTAAAATGTAGTGTCATCCGTCGTGAAAGCGAGTTTGTGGTGTGACCAACATAAATATTATTTAATTCGTTGGAGATACACTCTCCCAAAGGGCACTTGAATTTATAAACTATGTTATTTTTGCAAATCGCTAACCGGGGGAGAAGAATCATTTGAAGTATTAAGTTGGATATACTAGATTTAGTGTAGTATATGATTAATTTAATTTTTTTGCTAGGATCTGTAGTTGATATATTAGAATTTACTAAATTTTTTAGTATGTTTTCATCTTGTTTATAATTAGTATGCATTTGATTACGATATAGAGATTAATATATTTGAGATCAGTAGAAGCAGTATTATGTACAATTTGCTTATTATTTAGATTTCTAAGAAAGCATCTTATTTGTTCATCAACTATATAGTTTGGAAAGCTATTATTAAGTGTCTGTTTTATATTCTTTAGTTCACTGTAAAAAATCTGTTTTGTGGATGAATTAGTTTCTGCACGATGTATTAGATTCTTTATAATTGCTATTTTGTAGTAATATGGGCATTCGCTCTTGTAGTTAAGTGTACATGAATTTATGCTTGTAGGTTTTTTGTATGGCGAAATAGTAAATTTGTTATTATTTGTGTTTGTCAATATGTCAAGGAAGGAGATTTTATTATTAGTATTGAGTTCATATGTGAATTTAAGGACAGAATTATTTTGGAACCGTTTTTGAAGTTGAATTATTTCATCTGTATTTTTAACTAACATAAGAATATCATCAACGTATCTTAGTTAGTGGGGGTAAAGATGAGTTACTGTATATATTTCTTATGATTATGTCAATAGTTTCACTAACAGGGACATTGGTAAATAAGTTTTCAACATCAAGTGAAGCCATAATTTCATTGTCAGGTTTTTCACTTTTTAGGATTTGGATTACTTCTAATGTTGACTTAACACTATATTTACTAGGAAGATAGGGAGTAATAAGTAATATGTATATGTATATGTATGTATGTATGTATACCTCCAAAGATGAGTGAAATGAAGAAACTTGTTAAAAACAAAGTTTTATCATCAAAATATTTATATTAATAAGCAGAAAGACCAAAGGATTTTTTTATGATTTAATTATATCTTCAATCATTTCTAGAGTTTTCGAAATTTTGGTTAAAAATCTTGTTTATCTGGCGTCTTTTTGGGATAAAAAACACATTGATTTGGGAATTCTTGCAAAAATCAGATAATGATAATAATTATGAAAGTTTCAGGGCTTATTCACAAATGAATGAAATTATTTTTCAATTGCTTTTCTTTTCTTGAAAATCTTGGTAAATGTATTTTTTTTTTTACCTTTTTCTCTAACATTCTTAATGAGACAACAACGTGAAAGGAATATTCTTAGAATTTTCGAAATTTTGGTTAAAAATCTTGTTTCTCTGGCGTCTACGGGGACCATAAATTAGTATGGAAAATTTAAGCGCCTTTTTGCGGTGATTTGGAAATTTAATTTGGAAATTCTTGCAAAAGTCAGATAATTGCCGGATTTTAATGAAACTTTCAGGACTTATTAACAAATGAATGAAATTATTTTTCAAATGCTTTTCTTTTCTTGAAAATCTTGGTAAAATATATATTTTTTACCTTTGTCTCCAGCATTCTTAATAACCCAACAGCAGGATAAGAATATTCTTGTTTTATTTTTACTTTATTTTCCAACAAATACAGTTGCCCCACACTCTGCCCTAACTGAGTTTTGTCTTCAAGGGATTCCCTCTCCGATGACAATTAGCTGCTTTGGCGACCGCTAATGATACCAAAACCTATAAAAATTATGGTTTCATTTTATTCCAATTCTCACAGTGAAAGAAAAAATTGAAAACATATCTAATGTAGTAGCATGATAAATACAGAATACGTCGGAATGCTAAAACATATTTCAGGTAAATTGATTTACAAAACTGAAATATTTAATCATGAATGTGTTATATAGGAATAAAGTGTCGACACTTGAGTTTGAACATAGACCGACAGTGAGTAAACCCTGGCGACCCCATTATTGAATAAAGTAGACCACGTGACCATAAGGGAAACGCATATATGTAGGAAGTAGCTGAGGACTAAAAATGGAAATTTCTATTCTACACTTTATCACTCTACGGACAGCTATTCTCTACTCTATTCACTATACTATTTCTCTATTTGAATCTCTATGTGGTGGTTACTATTCGAGCGAGTATTATCGAGCAAATACTATTAGGGTGAGTGCTATTCGAAGGCGTCTGACACCAGTATAGTTCAACGGCGTACTATAGCTGTATTTGCGATTACAAAATCTCTACTACAACCAGCATTAAAAAAGAGACAACGAGTGTTCGTTGACATCACAAAAGAATGTTATTGAGCAGCGTTATAAAAAACAAAAAAAGAAAACACAACAGACCTGTCAGAATGAGCTCAGATCAATATTTCAATTTTCTGAAACCACATTTATTTATGGCACAAAATCTCCATAAACAGCACATTTTGCTTTTTGCGGAGCGTTTTCATTTTTTTAACGTTAAAATATGTAAAATTCATACTCCACATATGGATGAAAACAATGATTCTTAACTTTTTTTCCTTGTCCACTCCTTTCAAAACACCATCCAGTTCTCGCACTGCCTTCAAACCACCAACCAGTTCTCGCTCTGCCTTCAAACCACCAACAAGTTTATCTTTTTAAACCACCAAACATTTCTCGCCCTGCCTTCAAACCACCAACCATTTCTCGCCCTGCCTTGAAAAACCACCAACCAGTTTTTTTGAAAAAACACCAACCAGTTCTCGACCTCCTTTCAAACCACCAACAATTTCTCGCCCTGCCTTCAAACCACCAACCAGTTCTCGCACTCCTTTTAAACCACCAACCAGTTCTCGCCCTCCACTCAAAACACCAACCATTTCTCGCCCTGCCTTCAAACCGCCAACCAGTTCTCGCCCTTCTTTCAAACCACCAACCAGTTCTCGCCGCCTTTCAAACCACCAACCAGTCCTCGACCTCCTTTCAAACCACCAACCAGTTTTCGCCCTGGCTGAAAACCACCAACCAGTTGTCGCCCTCCTTTCAAAACCACCAACCATTTTTCAAACCAAACCACCAACCAGATCTCCCTCCTTTTCAAACCACCAACCATTTCTCGCCCGCCTTTCAAACCACCAAACAGTTCTCGACCTCCTTTCAAACCAACAACCAGTTCCCGCCCACCATTCAAACCACCAACCAGTTCTCGACCTCCTTTCAAACCACCAACCATTTTTTCGCCCTGCCTTCAAACCACCAACCAGTTCTCGCCCTCCTTTCAAACAACCAAACATTTCTCCCCTACCTTCAAACCACCGACCAGTTCTCGCCCTCCTTTCAAACCTCCAACCATTTCTCGCCATCCTTTCAATCCTCCAACCATTTCTCGATTTTTCAAACCACCAACCAGTTTTCGTTTTTCAAACCACCAACCAGTTCTCGCCCTCCTTTTAAACCACAAACCAGTTCTCGCCCTCCTTTTCAAACCACCAACCAGTTCTCGCCCTGCATTCAAACCACCAACCAGTTCTCGCCCTCCTTTCAAACCACCAACCAGTTTCAAACCACCCTCACCTCCTTTCAAAACCACCAACCATTTCTCGCCCTGCCTTCAAACCGCCAACCAGTTCTCGCCCTTCTTTCAAACCACCAACCAGTTCTCGCCCTCCTTTCAAACCACCAACCAGTCCTCGACCTCCTTTCAAACCACCAACCATTTCTCGCCCTGGCTTCAAACCACCAACCAGTTGTCGCCCTCCTTTCAAACCACCAACCATTTTTCGCCCTGCCTTCAAACCACCAACCAGATCTCGCCCTCCTTTCAAACCTCCAAACATTTCTCGCCCTCCTTTCAAACCACCAACCATTTCTCGCCCTCCTTTCAAACCACCAAACAGTTCTCGACCTCCTTTCAAACCAACAACCAGTTCCCGCCCTTCTTTCAAACCACCAACCAGTTCTCGACCTCCTTTCAAACCACCAATTATTTCTCGCCCTGCCTTCAAACCACCAACCAGTTCTCGCCCTTTCAAACATTTCTCCCCACCAAACCAGTTCTCGCCCTCCTTTCAAACCTCCAACCATTTCTCGCCATCCTTTCAATCCTCCAACCATTTCCCGCCCTGCCTTCAAACCACCAACCAATTCTCGCCCTCCTTTCAAACCACCAACCAGTTCTCGCCCACCTTTAAATCCACAAACCAGTTCTCGCCCTCCTTTCAAACCACCAACCAGTTCTCGCCCTGCCTTCAAACCACCAACCAGTTCTCGCCCTCCTTTCAAACCACCAACGAGTCCTTGCCCTCCTTTCAAACCACCAACCATTTCTTGCCCTGCCTTCAAACCACCAACCAGTTTCTCGCCCTCCTTTCAAACCACCAACCAGTTCTCGCCCCTGCCTTTCAAACCCAACCAGTTTCGACCTCCTTTCAAACCACCAACCATTTCTCGCCCTGCCTTTCAAACCACCAACCATTTCTCGCCCTGCCTTCAAAACCATTTCTCGCCCTGCCTTTCAAACCACCAACCATTTTCTCGCCCTCCTTTTAAACCACCAACCATTTCTCGCCCTTTTTCAAACCACCAACCATTACTCGCCCGGCCTTCAAACCACCAAACATTTCTCGCCCTGCCTTCAAACCACCAACCTGTTCTCGCCATTCTTTCAAACCACCAACCATTTCTCGCCCTGCCTTCAAACCACCAATCAGTTCTCGACCTCCTTTCAAACCACCAACCATTTCTCGCCCTGCCTTCAAACCACCAGCCATTTTTCGCCCTGCCTTCAAACCACCAACCAGTTCTCGCCCTCCTTTCAAACCACCAAACAGTTCTCGACCTCCTTTCAAACCACCAACCATTTCTCGCCCTCCCTTCAAACCACCAACCAGTTCTCGACCTCCTTTCAAACCACCAACCATTTCTCGCCCTGCCTTCAAACCACCAACCAGTTCTCGCCCTCCTTTCAAAACACCAACCAGTTCTCGACCTCCTTTCAAACCACCAACAATTTCTCGCCCTGCCTTCAAACCACCAACCAGTTCTCGCACTCCTTTTAAACCACCAACCAGTTCTCGCCCTCCACTCAAAACACCAACCATTTCTCGCCCTGCCTTCAAACCGCCAACCAGTTCTCGCCCTTCTTTCAAACCACCAACCAGTTCTCGCCCTCCTTTCAAACCACCAACCAGTCCTCGACCTCCTTTCAAACCACCAACCATTTCTCGCCCTGCCTTCAAACCACCAACCAGTTGTCGCCCTCCTTTCAAACCACCAACCATTTTTCGCCCTGCCTTCAAACCACCAAACAGTTCTCGCCATCCTTTCAAACCACCAAACAGTTCTCAACCTACTTTCAAACCACCAACCAGTTCTCGCCCTCCTTTCAAACCACTAACAAGTTCTCGCCCTCCTTTCAAACCTCCAACCATTTCTCGCCCTGCCTTCAAACCACCAACCAGTTCTCGCCCTCCTTTCAAACCACCAACCAGTTCTCGACCTTTTTTCAAACCAATAACCAGTTCTCGCCCTCCTTTCAAACCACCAAACAGTTCTCGACCTCCTTTCAAACCACCAACCATTTCTCGCCCTCCCTTCAAACCACCAACCAGTTCTCGACCTCCTTTCAAACCACCAATTATTTCTCGCCCTGACTTCGAACCACCAACCAGTTTTCGCTCTCCTTTCAAACCACGCACTATTTCTTGCCCTGCCTTCAAACCACCAAACATTTCTCACCCTCCCTTCAAACCACCAAACAGTTCTCGCACTTCTTTCAAACCACCAACCAGTTCTCGCCCTCCTTTCAAACCACCAACCATTTCTCGCCCTGCCTTCAAACCACCAGCCATTTTTCGCCCTGCCTTCAAACCACCAACCAGTTCTCGCCCTCCTTTCAAACCACCAAACAGTTCTCGACCTCCTTTCAAAACACCAACCAGTTATCGCCCTTCTTTCAAACCACCAACCATTTCTCACCCTGCCTTCAAACCACCAACCAGTTTTCGCTCTCCTTTCAAACCACCAACCATTTTTCGCCCTGCCTTCAAACCACCAAACAGTTCTCGCCATCAAACCACCAAACATTTCTCAACCTACTTTCAAACCACCAACCAGTTTCGCCTCCTTTCAAACCACTAACCAGTTCTCGCCCTCTTTTCAAACCTCCAACCATTTCTCGCCCTGCCTTCAAACCACCAATCAGTTCTCGCCCTCCTTTCAAACTACCAACCAGTTCTCGGCCTTTTTTCAAACCAATAACCAGTTCTCGCCCTCCTTTCAAACCACCAAACAGTTCTCGACCTCCTTTCAAACCACCAACCATTTCTCGCCCTCCCTTCAAACCACCAACCAGTTCTCGACATCCTTTCAAACCACTAATTATTTCTCGCCCTGCCTTCGAACCACCAACCAGTTTTCGCTCTCCTTTCAAACCAACCTTGCCCTGCCTTCAAACCACCAAACATTTTCGCCCTCCCTTCAAACCACCAAACAGTTCTCGCATTTCTTTCAAACCACCAACAAGTTCTCGCCCTCCTTTCAAACCACCAACCATTTTCTCGCCCTGCCTTCAAACCACCAACCATTTCTCGCCCTGCCTTCAAACCACCAACCAGTTCTCGCCCTCCTTTCAAAACACCAACCAGTTCTCGACCTCCTTTCAAACCACCAACCATTTCTCGCCCTCCTTTCAAACCACCAACCATTTTCTCGCCCTTGCCTTCGAACCACCTAACCAGTTTCGCTCTCCTTTCAAACCACGAACTATTTCTTGCCCTGCCTTCAAACCAGCAACCATTTCTCGCCCTCCCTTCTCGCCAGTTCTCGTACTTTTTTCAAACCACCAACCAGTTCTCGCCCTGCCTTCAAACCACCAACCATTTCTCGCTTTTTCCCAAACCACCTACCAGTTTCGCTTTCCTTTCAAACCACCAACCATTTCTCGCCCTGCCCAAACTACCAACCATTTCTCGGCATTCTTTCAATTTCCTTTCAAACCACCAACCAGTTCTCGACCTCCTTTCAAACCACCAACCATTTCTCGCCCTGCCTTCAAACCACCAGCCATTTTTCGCCCTGCCTTCAAACCACCAACCAGTTCTCGCCCTCCTTTCAAACCACCAAACAGTTCTCGACCTCCTTTCAAAACACCAACCAGTTATCGCCCTTCTTTCAAACCACCAACCAGTTTTCTCGCCCTGACTTTGAACCACCAACAAGTTTTTCTCTCCTTTCAAACCACGCACTATTTCTTGCCCTGCCTTCAAAACCACCAAACATTTTCACCCCTCCCTTCAAACCACCAACCAGTTCTCGCCCTTCTTTCAAACCACCAACCAGTTCTCGCCCTCCTTTCAAACCACCAACCATTTCTCGCCCTGCCTTCAAACCACCAGCCATTTTTTCGCCCTGCCTTCAAACCACCAACCAGTTCTCGACCTTTTCAAACCACCAACCATTTTTTCGCCCTGCCTTCAAACCACCAAACCACTTCTTTCTCGCAACCATTTCTCGCCCTTTCACCAGCCATTTTTCGCCCTGCCTTCAAACCACCAACCAGTTCTCGCCCTCCTTTCAAACCACCAAACATTTCTCGACCTCCTTTCAAACCACCAACCATTTCTCGCCCTCCTTTCAAACCACCAACCATTTCTCGCCCTGCCTTCAAACCACCAGCCATTTCTCGCCCTGCCTTCGAACCACCAACCAGTTTTCGCTCTCCTTTCAAACCACGAACTATTTCTTGCCCTGCCTTCAAAACACCAACTATTTCTCGCTCTCCCTTCTAACCACCAAACAGTTCTCGCACTTCTTTCAAACCACCAACCAGTTCTCGCCCTGCCTTCAAACCACCAACCATTTCTCGCTTTTCCTTCAAACCACCTACCAGTTTTCGCTCTCCTTTCAAACCACCAACCATTTCTCGCCCTGCCTTCAAATTACCAACCGGTTCTCGCCCTTCTTTCAAACCACCAACCAGCTGTCGCCCTGCCTTCAAACCACCAGCCATTTTTCGCCCTGCCTTCAAACTACCAACCAGTTCTCGCCCTCCTTTCAAACCACCAAACAGTTCTCGACCTCCTTTCAAACCACTAACCAGTTCTCGCCCTTCTTTCAAACCACCAAACAGTTCTCGTCCTCCTTTCAAACCACCAACCATTTCTCGCCCTGCCTTCAAACCACCAGCCATTTTTCGCCCTGCCTTCAAACCACCAACCAGTTCTCGCCCTCCTTTCAAACCACCAAACAGTTCTCGACCTCCTTTCAAAACACCAACCAGTTATCGCCCTTCGCCCACCAACCATTTCTCACCTTCAAACCACCAACCAGTTTTCGCTCTCCTTTCAAACCACCAACCATTTTCGCCCTGCCTTCAAACCACCAAACAGTTCTCGCCATTCCTTTCAAACCACCAAACATTTCTCAACCTACTTTTCAAACCACCAACCAGTTCTCGCCCTCCTTTCAAACCACTAACCAGTTCTCGCCCTCTTTTCAAACCTCCAACCATTTCTCGCCCTGCCCAAACCACCAATCAGTTCTCGCCCTCCTTTCAAACTACCAACCAGTTCTCGGCCTTTTTTCAAACCAATAACCAGTTTCGCCCTCCTCAAACCACCAAACAGTTCTCAAACCACCAACCATTTCTCGCCCTCCCTTCAAACCACCAACCAGTTCTCGACATCCCTTCAAACCACCTAATTTATTTCTCGCCCTGCCTTCGAACCACCAACCAGTTTCGCTTCTTTCAAACCACGCACTATTTCTTGCCCTGCCTTCAAACCACCAAACATTTCGCCCTCCTTCAAACCACCAAACAGTTCTCGCATTTCTTTCAAACCACCAACCAGTTCTCGCCCTCCTTTCAAACCACCAACCATTTCTCGCCCTGCCTTCAAACCACCAGCCATTTTTCGCCCTGCCTTCAAACCACCAACCAGTTCTCGCCCTCCTTTCAAACCACCAAACAGTTCTCGACCTCCTTTCAAACCACCAACCATTTCTCGCCCTCCTTTCAAACCACCAACCATTTCTCGCCCTGCCTTCAAACCACCAGCCATTTCTCGCCCTGCCTTCGAACCACTAACCAGTTTTCGCTCTCCTTTCAAACCACGAACTATTTCTTGCCCTGCCTTCAAACCAGCAACCATTTCTCGCCCTCCCTTCAAACAACCAAGCAGTTCTCGTACTTCTTTCAAACCACCAACCAGTTCTCGCCCTGCCTTCAAACCACCAACCATTTCTCGCTTTTCCTTCAAACCACCTACCAGTTTTCGCTTTCCTTTCAAACCACCAACCATTTCTCCCCTGCCTTCTCACCAACCATTTCTCGGCATTCTTTCAAACCACCAACCAGTTCTCGCCCTCTTCAAACCACCGCCAGTTCTCGACCTCCTTTCAAACCACCAACCATTTCTCGACCTGCCTTCAAACCACCAGCCATTTTTCGCCTTTCAAACCACCAAACCAGTTCAGTTCGCCCTCCCTTCAAACCACCAACCAACCTCCTTTCAAAAACCACCAACCAGTTCTCGCCCTTCTTTCAAACCACCAACCAGTTCTCGACCTCCTTTGAAACCAAACCGCCCAACCAGTTCTCGCCCTCTTTCAAACCACTGACCAGTTCTCGCCCTCTTTTCAAACCACCAAAACCACCAACCAACCAGTTCTCGCCCTCCTTTTCAAACCTCCAACCATTTCTCGCCATCCTTTCAAACCTCCAACCATTTCTCGCCCTGCCTTCAAACCACCAACCAGTTCTCGCCCTCCTTTCAAACCCAACCAGTTCTCGCCCTCTTTTCAATCCACCAACCATTTCTCGCCCTCTTTTCAAACCACCAACCATTTCTCGCCCTGCCTTCAAACCACCAACCATTTCTCGCCCTCCTTTCAAACCACCAACCAGTTCTCGCCCTCCTTTCAAACCACCAACCATTTCTCGCAACACTTTCAAACCACCAACCATTTCTCGCAACCCTTTTAAACCACCAACCATTTCTCGCAACACTTTCAAACCACCAACCAGTTCTCGCAACACTTTCAAACCACCAACCAGTTCTCGCCCTGCTTTCAAACCACCAACCAGTTCTCGCACCCGCTTCCAGAATTGATGAAAAGCAATATTGATTTAATGTTTAAATAACGAAAACATTGAATTTCTTTAATCTTTATTCGCATAACTGACAACGAAATAATGCATTATAAAAACTCAGATTACTTTTATATTAGCAAAAATATAAATTCACCGTAACCTGGGCTTGTACAATGCATGGTGCATTGTGAGTGATTCTGGTTGAGCAATCAGTGACTTTGTTGCAGTTATTTTCTCTTATTTTGACATCAAATCTTGGTGTCTTGATGCTGAGTGCTACTCACCTGTGTTGTTGAGAATCCAGTCGATTTCTGCTCTTAGTTTTGATGTGAAGCAGACAGGAAAATCCAGTTTCACACAAGTATGTAGTCGCGAAAGTCACCAGTACAGCGAGTGCTTCTTTTGCCAGTACAGGATACGTTCCCACTGAGAAACCCAGTATTGCTTCAGGCCACCATCGGAAAACTCCATTTGAATTTCACGATTATTTCCCAGATCGATGAGATCTTCCTTGTTGTCGCTGTCATCATCTTTACATTGAACAATGTAAAGTTTTATGTCAGATCGCCAGAGTTTTCTTAATAAACCAACCCTAATGATTCAGTATCCTCGCATCCCCTAGGAACCAATATTGCACTCCTAACGACACATATTGAAAGGCGGTAAGAACTTTTGTTACGAACGAATACGTTACATTTCGATGCATTAATTTCCATTTATATGTTTGGCCTTATATATTTTTTTATTTGTCTTTTGATTTCAGAATGACGACGTGTTCACCTTACATTTGTGGATTACGTTTTCTAAAAAAAATCTCTTTTCTTTGTTGTTGGTGAAGGTTACTCGTCTATTATATTCCTGCGTTTCGGGTTTGTAAAACTCTTTTGTCATTGTTTCTCCGATAACACTATCAGATTGACTGCCTCGGATTTCATTATGACATGTTTTTTTATTTTTTTATTCTTTTGTTTTTTTTACATGTGCGTGATTTTTTCCTTATAAATTGTTAACTTACTAGTGAAGTTTGATAGTGTTTGCAGCTTTTGGGGATATTTTTGCAGTATCATCAGAGGTATTCATTTGTTTTGTATTTATTTCTATCCTTCTATTCGAGTAGTTTGGGATTGTTCATAGTTACGTGATGTGAATCTGTTATCTGATGACCAAATTTCAACTTCCGTGTGCGCACCTACATATACTTAACACACACACACACACACACACACACACACACACACCATGAATAGTTATATCATTGTAATACATTGTTGAATCCTTCATGGCATTTGTAGGTAGTGACAATGATTTGGCGATACCCGGCATGTCTTCAGGTAACACGAGGCACAGTGTATCGAGTTACAGGGTATTAGCAACAGGGAATAATTTTGAAACTGACCTGCAGAAAAACTTGGATTCATGCATTTTTTTTAAATTTTGTTCAGCCAATACAAGTCCTAAGAGCCACTCAAGTTAGAGGATTACTGAGTGAGATTGTTGTAATGGAGTAAGGGAGAGGGATGAGGAATTATATCCATATTATGAAGATGTGGGACAGATATCGGAGGGACACTATACTTGAAGACTTTAAGTTTGTAGTGGAGCAGGAAACAGTTCTGTGGAAAAAGCTGTCAGAGTGGAACTTCCTTCTTACCAATAGAATACGAAGATATACGTGAGCATGGTATGGCGGGTCCTAATTGTGAAGGTCTGAACTTGTAGAATTGAGGAATGTATTTATTTTTAACAGTTGCCATAATAATGGCGATAGTTTAGTGAGAGACTAGCAGTGTTTCGTCTGTGAAATAGGGGTTGTAGGGTGTACAATAATTCATCACCCATAAGACTACGTAATTGCTTTTGAACTCTGTACAAGCCTGAACAGTGAGAATCGGGCAGCACGTGCCGGGATATGACAGCAATACTCAGATATGACTCTGGTAAAGATAGAGCATGGCAGCAGGAGTTAGGTATTTTCTGGAAAGATACGAGGAATCGATCATTCTTCCAGCGGAGACAATTCAGAAGTGAGACAACTCAAAACCGAGACAACTCAGCACCAGAAAACATAACTTTTTTTTTTATAACAGTAAATTCATACTTTTCCCTAAAGTATTTGCGCGTAAATGAATATAAAGAACATAACAGGAAATGGAATTCGACTCTCCGATTAACAATTCGGAGCCATGATCAATTACACCACCCACACATCCAAGTTTACAGCACCTGGTATCCCCGAGCGCTTACCCATGCAGGTATTGAAAAGGCTCAATATTGCTTAAATTCGGTGATCATATGAAAACTGGTGCTTCAACGTGATGTGACAGTAAGTGTGACCAAAGTGTATTTCTTCGAATTATTGTGTCTATAATATCACCTATATCTACATAGATGAGAAAAATAGTTTGAAATGATCTAAGTATATTGACCATTAATCATCTCAGAAATGAAATACGAAATTATGACAAATTATAGAGGTATTATATACTTTTTCACTGAAATCTTAACTCATATACATATAAAAATGCAATAAAACTAAGATTATTCAATTAGAAAAACCTTTTAATTGATTGTATAAATTAAATATATTATGGACACTATTGCCTTAATAAAAACATCCATGAATAACTAATTTTTAGAAGAATTGTTCATATTTTTTGTTAAATTTTATTTAGAATAATGTATATACCTTTAAGTCTTTTAAAATTCTGTATTAATTTATAGCGGTTAAATTATTATTAATAAAAACTATATTTACTAATTATAAATGGAAAATCCTATTACATTTAAGTGACTGACAGTATTTTAAAAAGTATTTTGAATTTTTTTTTTTTTTTGTATGCAAGCCGATTTTTGTAAATATGAACATCCATACACAATATTATCAGAAAATAAGAGCGTTAAGTATAGTAAATTAAAAATTTATTGGTAATTTTCTAACAATTTCCTCAACAAATGTCTTCGTAAGTAAGACTATAAAATCAAAGTATTTAAAATTCAATAAAATATTAGAATGCTTAAAATATTTAAAATTTTTAAGATTACTGGGGAGTTTTAAAAAAATTGTCTAAAATGCGCTTACGTTGAATTTTACTACAATTATTTTCACATTATATAAATCTCGCAAACACCAGATGCGTCAACACATAATAAAAATACCCACCTCCGTGTTAAAAATGCTTTTCTATGTCATTTATAATAAATGAAAGAATTGTTTGTTTTATATATATATATATATATATATATATATATATATATTATAATTGTTTTTTAATAATATTTTGCTCTACTGTTGTATTGGGAACGGTATTTTTAAAATAAAATAAATACTAAGAACTCTGAATTATAAATCTCATTGTTCTTTGTATTTTTTATATATATATATATATATATATATATATATATATATATATATATATATAATGCCCGTTTTTTTTATACTAGTCGAGTATAGGTATCAAAATATGCATAATAATAATATATGTGTGTGTGTGCCTGTGTCTGTGTTTCTGTGTGTTAATAGGATAAAATTAATTAATTCATTTTCTACGGCTTATCAACCAATTGCAGGTTATTTAAAACCAGAAAATATTTTTAGATTGGAAGAATTGGTTGTGGGGAGGTAATGATGGTTTAGAGATACAAGCATTACTAACTGACCTATACCTTGCGGGGGTTGGGGCGTCGAGAAAAAACTGGATTTATAACCCAAGGTTATTTGCTCGTAAGTAAACGTAACGAACCCCGCCTGAATTGGAACTCAGCTCTTCGACTAATATTTCCGAGGCATTATCCATTCCACCACCCACACACCCAAGCTTTCAGCACCTGGTATTTTCAAACGGTCACCCATCTATTTTGTGACCAGGTTCGACGTTTCTTAACTTCGGTGATTTGGCCGTAAGCAGGACGATAAGAATCTAAACAAAAGTTGAGAAATGCGAAGACACCAACCTGACAAAAATACATTAACGGTTTTAAATGAAATACATTCTGACCCTATAACGCCAACCTAGCAGACGAAAGCGGAACGCGTTGTCATTAAAAACTCTTTATACACATGTTTCTGTAAATAAATGCCTAAATTTGCTAAAAACATAGTTAACTAAAACAAAAATAAAATTGCCTCTTCCTACACATAAAATCGCCAAAAAGTACCATTTCATCACTAATCAATGTCTTTTTCAAATTCCATAATTTTTTTTTTATAGACAAGATGGGCTTTCCTCTTAGTGACGTTCTGGCTAGTCTATTTTTTTGAATTTCTGGAAAGCACAGTTTTCTCGATCTTGTCAATAAACTTAATAACGTTGAACCTTCAGTAGATTTTACCTTTGAATTTGAGGCTGACAATACTATCCTTCCTAGATATCATGCTGCATAGATCAAAATTTACCCTGAATATAACTATCGCTAAATGGCTTCTAGGGAACTCTAAGTAATTATTTTTTTTATAAGAAGGCAGCTGAGTGGGTATATGTTCAGGTATTATGAATCTTTGAATTTGAGGCTAACAATACTATCTTTCCTAGATATCATGCTGTATAGATCAAATAACGACTTTCAGTTGGAAGTTTACAGAAAATCTATCAACAATAATGATCTTATCATTTTTTATTCCCACCAATGTAACAGGATAAAACTGGAATAATTATAGGATTCTATTTAAAAGCATTAAGAATATATATAATATATATTATATTCTTATAATCTCGTTGGTCTGCTATGCATTTTTGTAGGGTATCAGATAGGGGTGCAATTTTAGTTCCTTACTATGGGCGCCAATTTCCATTGATATGCCTCTACTTAGAAATAACACTATTGCCATTTTTGGTTAAAAAAAAATTACACTGGGAAATTGTAGTTTATGAGGTTTGCACATTTGTTCTAAACAAATTTGAATTTAATTTTTTGGTTTCCGGTATAGAGGAATAGCACGCGCGTCTGCAAAAATCATCCGGTCGTTTTCGTTAATTCACCCAGCAGGGTGTTTCCTATCTATATATTTTTTGAATAGAAACA